CCAATGATGAAATTGAACTAAACTTGGCACACAGAACTCCCATGACCAACGGAAAATACTGGAAGGATTTGGTGGGCATTGATCTTGAGTTTTGGAGTTGTAGTTCACTTGCATTCAGAGATCACTGTGGACTCAAACAATGATGGATCTGGACCTAACTTGGCATGAATATTCAATATGCCCAAATGTAAACACTAGTGGAGTTTGGGGAAAATAGACCTTGGGAGTTGTAGTTGTTGGGATTTATAGTTCACCTACAATCAAAGTGTATTCTGGAATCCACCAACAATAGAATTAGTCCAAACTTCTCACACAGAACTCCCTTGACCAACAGAAAATACTGTTTTCTGATGGTCTTTGGCGACCCCTCTGACACCGCCTTGCGACCCCCCTGGAGGTCCCAATCCCCAGGTTGAGAAACACTGACTTAGACAATCCCTCATTGCCTGAGGATGATGGTCATCCAAGTGCAGTGACTTGGCGGTGGATCCGTAGGTGACTGTGGAGCCCTATTGTTGATCCGCATGTTCTCCCGCAGGGAGGACATGGGTTTCCAGATCAAAGGCAGTCCTGGTCAGGGTTGACTTGATGCACCTTCCTTTGGGCACATTTCTCCCTTTCGCCCTCCATTCATGCCTCTTTGAATTTCGCAGCACTGCTGGTCACAGCTGACAAGTTGGGGTTGTCTTGATGCACCTTCATTTTGGCACATTTCTCCCTTTTGCCCTCTATTCGTGGCTCTTCAAATTCCGCAGCACTCCTGGTCACAGCTGACCTCCAGTTACAGCACTTAAGGGACAGGGCTTCCCAGTTCTCGGTGTCTTTCCCACAGTCTTTAAGGTTGGCTTTAAGCCTATCTTTAAATCTTTTTTCCTGTCCACCAACACTATGTTTCCCATTCTCGAGTTGGGAGTTGAGTAACTGCTTTGGGAGATGGTGATCGGACATTTGGACAAGTGGCCAGTCCAGCGGAGTTGATAGTTAGGAGCATCGCTTCAATGAAGAATCAGTTTAGATACACCCCTTTATCACACATTGGAAATGATGAGGTTTATAAAGGGAGAAATATTCACCTTATATAACATCCTAACAGGTAGAAGGGGTCTCTTGGGAAGAGAGGCGGACAAATGTCAGCATGCTGGAAGAAGCAAAGGCCACAAGAATTGAAGCGATAGTCCTCTGCCATCAACTCCCTTGGACCGGCCACGTTGTCTGGATGCCCAACCACCGTCTCCCAAAGCAGTTGCTCTACTTTGAACTCAAGAAAGGAAAACGGAATATTAGTGGGCAGGAAAAGAGATTTAAAGATGGGCTCAAAGCCAACCTTGAAAATTCTGGCATAGACACTGAGAACTGGGAAGCCCTGGCCCTTGAGTGCTCCAGCTGGAGGTAAGCTGTGACCAGAATTTGAATGGGGAACGAATGGAAGGTGAAAGAGAGAAACGTGCCAAGAGGAAGGTACGTCAAGCCAACCCCGATCAGGACCGCCTTCCACCTGAAAACCGATGCTCTCACTGCGGGAGAAGATGCAGGTCAAGAATTGGGCTCCACAGTCACCTACGGACCCACCGCCAGGACACCGATCTTGGAAGACAATGCTAATCAAAGAACGAAAGATCGCCTAAGAAAGTAAGGGATCTAATAAGAAGTCTTACCATTCCCAATAGACTTAGGCAAAAAAAGTTACCACCTATTCTTGTTCACATGATCTCCCTCTTCAAAAATCTTTATCATCTTGGCCATTCTCTGATATTGCTTGGCTACAAATGTCCTGTGAAATGTTGGGAGGGTATGTGAGAGTGGTTTGTTTTGTTTGGTACCTTGAACATGAATATCATACTGCAATGTGTTGGTTGCAGTGTTTATCTATCTATCTATCTATCTATCTATCTATCTATCTATCTATATTATATCTATCTATCTATCTATCTATCTATCTATCTATCTATGCTCCGTGCATAATGAGTACCTTAAAAATTGAATGGTTGTGTTGTTAAAGTGCGAAGTATGGAATCCTGCGCAGACGGTCAGTCAATGTGACTTAAGCAATGTGCAGTCATTGAATTCTTGACAACAGAAGGTGTCACCCCAAAGGAGATTCATCAAAGAATGCAAGTAAGTGTGTTGATGTGAGTACTGTATGTCGTTGGGATAGTATGTTGAGGTGATACCTTCTGCTGTCAAGAATTCAGTGACTGCATGTTGCTTAAGTTGCATTGACCAACTGTCTGTGCAGGGTTCCATACTTCGCACTTTAACAACACAACCATTCAATTCTAAGGCTTCTCACCGAAATGGAACTGTAGAAGAGAGTCTACTGAACAAGCCAGTACCTGCCGCATATCAGTACTGCCATCTGTTGAGGAGTTACGAAGGTGGAGGCATTACTTTTCATTCAACCATCGTACTAATAATGTCTAATAAACAGCTTATCGGGATATTGCTTTCTATCTTTACAACATTTTACATCCAACTAGGAAAACTTTATAGTGTTTCCAATTTCCTATCATACCACACAGACAGTGGATCAAATGTGGAACATGCTTGCCTTACAACTCAGAATCCTTAAATGTATTTGTGACTAGTAGCTTTGGATTTGATTCCTTTTCTACAAATGGGCTATTTTCTATAGGTTAGCTGTCTAACCAGTTGATTTGATTTGTAAAGGTGAAAAACAACCCTAGCGAGAACCGTAAGTGCTAGCAAACTAGGCCAACAAGCTCTTCTTCTGCAAATGACCATGGTTAGTACTATCTATATAAGATCACGAATGTAGTCTCTAATTGAGAAATCAACAGGAGGTGACACATTTCATAACTGGCCTACCTTTCCTATGAATAAGGATGGATGAAGACAGGTGGGTGCCCTCTTTGTGGGTGTGTGTGTGTGAGAGAGAGGGAGCTATTATTGGAGAAGTCGCCCAGTTCTATCTTGTCTCCTGTGCTATGCTAATAATATAATATAATATAATATAATATAATATAATATAATATAATATAATATTGTGTATACATATAATTTTTATAATATTATAATGTAATACAATAGTAATAGTAGTCACTTCAGCTGGAGTTCTTAGATATTCAAAGCTGTTGTCCCTCTGAAATTCCTCAGAGCTTTAGGGCTGTTTCCCTGGGAATCTTTGGGAATCCTTTTGCTCTTAAGACTGTTCTCCCCCGGGAAGTCTTAAGGGTTGAAACCTTTATACAGGAGAAAGTCTGTGAACGTCCTGTACATTGACTTTCCTTGCTGAGACTGACTAAAAATGGCTCCCTTCCCTTAACAATTGTCCTGAACAGGGGGCGGAACCAAACTTAACGATGATGGACAGGGGGCCTGCCCTATAACTGCAATCTTTAAGAGGAAGCCACCCTTCTGCAGAATCCCAAGCCTTTGGCTGCAAGCAAACACTTATACAAGGCAAATAAAGTGGGAGCTTCTGGTACAGCTGTACCAGCACACAACCCCAACTGGGACCGCCTTCCACCTGGAAACCGATGCCCTCGCTGTGGGAGAAGATGCAAGTCAAGAATAGGGCTCCACAGCCACCTACGAACCCACCCCCAGAACACCGAACTTGGGGGACAATTTTACTTGGACAAAATGTGGGATTGCCTAAGTAAGTAAGTATTGGGTTGTTGTAGGTTTTTCCGGGCTATATGGCCATGTTCTGGAGGCAATTTTTCTCCTGATGTTTCGC